ACGCATCGCTCTGCATACAAGACGCATCGCTCTGCCTATGCAGATGATCGTTTCAATTCGTCAACAATATTTTTTTCCACATCCTATTGTAAACTCGATAGTCCTATAAGATTAGACTTGTTCTTTACCTACACTTTTAACACTATATTGTTCGATTGACGTAACAAGTTTCAAGTGCATTTACAACAGGTGTAGTTGTGATTTCCAATTGTCAGGAAGAAATGTTTCCTTGAGAGTAAAATCAAATTTTAAGTCATTGTTTTGTGAAACGAGACGTAAAAGAAGAAAACAAGTTTAAGAATTTCGACATAACAAGATAAAAAACGTGGCTCATATAGGACTCATCGATATCGTCATCTGGCTAAAAATGAGCCAACTTGCAGGCGTCGTGCGCGCTGCATAATTCAGAAATTTAATAAAAACAAGAATTACCTTTTCGTCTTTTTTCAAAATCAGGCAGCTTCGCCAAATTCACGCTTTTTTCGTCTGATCTAGAGAGTACACTCAAGTCACAAACCACTACACTGGCAGTTCATAAAACTCAACGTAGATCATCGTTTACACCGTCATTCATCAAAGCTTAATATTGAAAAAATAAATTGCGCTTGGCTTTTTCGCGAGGCAACGAAAAAACGTGTCAACTTCACTTGCAAGCGCGAATAAGTATGACACGAAGCACAGCGGGTAAACAATGTACAGCATACGATGGATAAAAGAGTCACGAGTATAGGGTATGACTGGATTCTTGTGCGCGCGTGTACGTACTTCAAAAATAGACTTTGACGCTTCGAAAATTATTTCCGAATATCTATGTAACTATACGTATATCAATGAGTAGATACGTATACTGTACAGGGTAGATATAAATAGACGCGACAAGCGCGTGTACGATACGCGTGACGTCCGCGGCACAACTGCCGGCGGACTTGCCGCTGTGTCTCTCTTTCTCTCTCTCTCTCTCTCTCTCTCTCTCTCTCTTGCTCTCCAGCTTCTCTGTGTAGTATCTCGGAATATACCGGCACTCGCAGCGCAGCGCCGCCTACGTACATATACAACTCCAGAGTATCATATATTTATCGACAAGCCTGCACGAGACCGTTTGTCTGTCGATACACGAAACGAGAGCTTTTTTATATTAAAAAAAGCTTTGTTATTTCAAGTCAAGATTCCGCATGCTCGCTTGATATAAGGTTTGTAGAGACCAACATATTCACCAACTAGTATTAATTATGCAATTATGTGAAATAATAAACAAATCGCTTACTATTCCTAACATTTTACATTATTTGCATGAAAATAGTGCCATTGCTGGAGATATAGGTAAAAATAAAGATTTGTATAATTTAGTACGCAGTAATACGAACAATCGATCTACGAATTTTACCAAATGATCATTGGTCAATTGAATTCGAGAGCAAATTTATGGCGAGCAAATTTTTCCAAATTAAACTCGCTGAGCTCGGAATTTATTGTTAATTACGTTTATTAAAGGCCAAGCAGTGTTGTAATTACAGTTGTATTATTTCTTGTTATCCCTGAGCCGTATCGTATTACTTTATTACTATCACTGACGAAAACTTCAATGTTGTTTTCCAATTTCTCTTTTAATGATTTAGAAAATGTTTTCAATACTTTAAGGATAAGTTGTAAATGTTATGAATAGTAACTTTTGATTTAATTTAATTCAATTTGCTAGCTTCAATTCATATTATAAATAATTCAATAAAATTTTAATTTCTAATATTTCATCGAATAATTCTATTTATTTTAAGATTTTCAAAGTAAAAGAATTAAACGATAAAAAAAAATCTAGAAAACTTGTTATAAATCGAAAAAAAAATTTCGTGACTATGCATAAATGTGTATATTTGCATAGTAGAAGTTCAGAGATTTTTTTACCTTTTCCAAACAAAATCGTACGTGTCAAAGTTTTGTACGGGAAAATTGAATGCGCAGTTTCGCACAATACTGCCGTTTTACTGTAAATAAGACGAGCTACAAACGACCAAATCCTTTATCGACATTAATCGACAGGTATATCACGTAGGCTTTTAAACCGTGTATCAACTCGCACGCCGTTGCAGAGCTCTCTGTTTCGTAGAAAGTATTATATATCGTACAAACCTACTTTATTAGAACGAACGTGTACTCGCATTCGTGTATATATATTAGGATATCTATTATTACAACACTTTGTTATCACTACAAACGAGATCTATTTACAAAAACTGTCGCTTCTATTGTCAGTTCTTACGAATAAGTATATCAAAATTTAAAAATTCCTCAAGTGAATAAACGTAAAATGTATTAAAACAATTTAAAGCGTGAATTTTTAATGCAGATTTTTTTAATTTTGTTTGAAAAACCATATTTATGCTTTTATCGGATTCAATATCTTTTTATTATTTTTTTCAAAATTATGAAAGTCGATTTTTCACAAAAAGAATCATCAAGAAGAAACCTGCATAACAATAATCACAATAAACAGCACATACATTTTATGTATTGATTCTCAAATGAATTTCAATTGTTTAACGTCGAAAACTATACATTAGAGTATCCCTCATTTTAAAGTTGATATTCTTTGCGAAGGACATCTTATAGATTGATAATGTATCATGAAAAACTATGCTTGAAAAAACTTTGAAATATTAAAAAAAATTATCATCCGTGTCTGGCAGTAAAACAAAATCGTTCTATGCTATTTCGATGGAGAAAAATGCTTCAGTTGAGCATTTCATCAAACAACTGGATTCTTTACGATCGAATAACAATTTTGCTCTGGTGCCAAGCACGGTTAAGAATTTTTTTTATGTTCTGAACTACACTGGGCATTGTTTTTTGTGATATAATAAAGATTTAATATGTATTTGCGAAAAATATCAACTTCGAAAAATTATGGGCACCCTACTACTACACATTGTAATCACGTTGAGAAAAATTCATCAACTTTACTTGTTAATTTTATGTTTACTGGTTTTCAATCATTATTATCAATATTATTACGCTAGTTATTAAACTACATAATAAGAGAGGATTAATTGAACAAAAATAACATAGATTGATTATGTCTAAAAATTACTTTTGTACGCGCCTGCAGATTAAATTAAAAAGTTCCAGTTTGCATTATATGGGCTAATTGAGTAAAAGTTCAAGTCAACGACAAAATAAAAATAATACAGTACAAAGAGAATGTATAGTGCAATCTTCGAATTCCCATACACAAAATTGAATACTCAATTTAAACTTCCGCGTGTGCAACGTTGACTGACTTACACAACCACAAAACGTCAATAAAATCTTTTTAACCTCTCATTTGTCGGCACATCTTACTGTCGAGATGACAAAGTAAGGCGAATTATTGTTCGCCAGATTCATGATTAGATTTATACTTGCCTGCGCATTATTCCAAGTTTTTCAATTATAACTTTGGCTTGTTGTATCGTTGAGACTACTTTTTATTGCGATAATTTTCACCGTCAGTATTTTTTTCTTCTTACAATAGTTTTGACAAGTAAGAAATTATTCTTCATTCATTTACAGTAGAAATTGAATTATTAGGTGGAAGAAGCGAGTCAAAGTGTTCGCGTAAAAAAATAATGCCTATTGCGCAGTACAGAAGTTAATTATTATGCAGTAAATTCAGTTGGAGAACTTATAAAAATGCATTTTTTATCGTAAACTTTTGAAAGAATCTCACGAATTCTTCTGAATATAAAAAAGAATTAAGAAATTCGAAATAAATTGTTTCGTAAAAGTTGACTATGATTTTTTTTTTTGCATATATCTCACCTATTGAAAAGAATAAAGTAAAATCAAGAGTTAAGTTTACAAGAGAATGTATCAAGGCAAAGAACCAATGAAATTAGAAAGGTTAAGAATAAATTTAAGCACTGTTAGTTTTTTCATACCTTGACCGAAAGGTATAAAATTTTCGATATTTTTATATATTAATGCTATTATATTATAATATAATATCATATAAATAAACATCTTAGTTCATGCTTGTGTTAATAATATTTTCCTAAATAAAATTTATTAAATTTCAACAACGGCTATATTCATGTAGTTTTGTTTATTTTTATAAAAAAATAAGTCAAGTAGTTGAACATAACCGTGACTTCGATTGTTCACTATAATAAGGCGTGCTTGGCGCATGCTATATCAAACAAGTACAAAATACAAAAATTTACCAAAATATGGGTCAAAAACCATCAAGCGTTGAGGACCTGACGAGCCTCAGTAAGAAAGAATTGAAAGTAAAATCCAAAAAGTTATCAGAAGATAAAGTGGATAAAATTTCATTGAAGAGCCGAAAAAGTGGCGAGTTAAAATTCATTTTTGTAAACTAATCTGAATGAAAAGCATCGAAATGAATATGAAATCATGTAGATCCGCAGATGACGACTACTACAAGAAAAAAATCAGATTCCACTCGTAGTATACCAACTGTAGCATCAGAAAAGCAACAACAGCAACAGCAGCAGCAACAACAGCAAACGTTGGAATGTGCTATCAGCACTTCTCCTGCCCCTTCTCCCGTGCACTCGGCCGAGCAGTTAATCAACAACGCGGAAAGCGAGAGCGAGAAAAAAAATACGCAAGCCGATAATGATGCAAACTCATCGCAAGGTAGAAGCAGACGAACGTCTTGGCCGATAGACGTCGCCGCTGCCAGTGCGGCCTACAGTACGGAGCCCTTGTCGTTTTCACTGAACCCGAGGATCGCCGAACTTGGACATCTGACTGCCTGGCAGATGATGCAAAATTTCGAAAACCTCACCAAGGTCGACAATTACGTAAGAGCACAGAACCCATTCACGTCCAATCGGGCTCGAACGATTGATATATTTCGAACGAGCGAATTTTTTGCAGCTGAGAAGCCAAGCGAGTTCGTTTAACGCCACGATGGAGGATAACATTAGCGAGAAAAGCATCGGTAGCGGGGATCTACCGCAAGAGCAATCGGACGTCACCGCGAACGATTCGGAACGGCACTCGGCTACGTGCACGGCAATCGAAATCGATCTCGAGCCAATGGACGATGGAAATAAATTGAACGTCATTACCGCTGTGGAGGTGAGTATATAAACGAGAAAGATGCGCGTGGCCTCTATCCGATTTTAATCAACTTTTGACTGTGATTCCGCGCGATAACGGTTCAAGCGATTCGCTACCTGTCGTAGATATTGAGACGTGTACTCGAAGCGACGAGGTGCGCAGTGGCCCGTCCGATAAGGCAACTTTCTTTTATAATCGCTTCGACGTCACAACTCGTTATCGCGGTAACTTCAAGAATGATTGCTCGATCACATCTTACCGATTCTTCTTTTGGCATCAAAATTTTTAAGATGCGACTTTTGATATATCGTACCTACATCTCCGGTCTAGCAAGAAAAAGCAAAACTGTTTTGCTCTGAGCGTCAATGCCCGAAATGTACCGGCGAGTCTCTTGCTCAATCAATTTTTCGGCTTTTCCGTTTAACGAAGAAGAAAAATGAAATAAAAGTGACAATAGATTCCAGCAAAAGCAGTTTACTTCGTGTATAGCAGGTACTAGTGGCAAAGGAAGAGCAAGAGGAAGTAAAGGCATCGATGCCCAAGGCGGTAGTAACGACGCTATCGACATCGACGACATCCAACGACGGCAAGTACGACGAAGCTAGCAAATTGCGATCCGAAGTGATACAGCTGAAAGAAGGAATCGACAGGGTGCGTTACGAGCGAGACGAGGCGAGGCTGAGATTGAGAGTGGCTGAGGAGAGATGCGAGGCATACGAGACCGAGTCGAAATACCTCGAGGCTACCTTGGATTCTATGGAAGAGAAAATCAGGTGAACACAGCCGACGCGCGTTTCAACCAAATTATCATCTTTTTTTCTTTTTTTTTCCTTTTACAACGTCGACCCAAGACTCGATTAAATGTATGAAAGCTCACTCTTTTCGCGACTTTCCTGCTCAAATTTGAATATCAAAGTTAGTCGCGTTCGATTTTCATCAACAATGAGTATACGACCGGCTTTTTTGCTTTCCGACCACCAAATCCTCAAAGCTATTAATGACAGCCGCAATAATACGCGGAAAAAGGTAATTTCAAGTGCAAACGAAAAAGCAACGAGAAATAGAAGCTTACCCGCGATCTCTCCTCCGCATGAAATGCGGAAGGGCTTAAATGACCTGGCTCGCGTTCATTGTTATTATCATTTCATTACTTAATGCTGCTAGTAAGGCTTTTAGTTGATTACGCACGGAGTCGCTTTGCTTACCGAAATTTGCTTTTACCGCGAAATTGATAAGGTCAAGAAAAATATTTCTTTTTCCTCACAGAGACCTAGCTAGGGAGCTGAGCGCTGAAGTGATGAGGAGTCGAACGCTGGAGCAGCAGTTGTCGCTAATTTTGAGTAATTCGACATCTTCGAAGCCAAAATTGCAGCAGACTGACAAAGTAGCTTGACGCTTCTTTCAAACCAAAGTTTCTGGCTGCGCAACAACCTTAAACTAGGTAAATAAGAGAGAAAAAGCCTACAAAACTATAGTTTGTTAGTGTTTAAAAAAAAAGGCTAATGACTCAAAAAACTATGCGCAATACTTCTCTTCCAGCTTTATTTTTGAAGAAATTCGTCAAGATTTTTTTCTTCGATAATAAATCTTACTTTTTACATACAATAAGTTTTGTGAGCTCGAATGCTGTATTGTGTTCGACGTATTGCTACAAAGATAAAATTGGTAGTACATCTTCTAGGATTATTCTTTTCAATAAATTATTTTTTATAAAATATAAATGAATTCTTACTGATTGAATTACCGGAGCCCGAGTGAAAATTAAAATTTTTATTTGATTTTTGGTACTTTATTTTTTTCATACCGATTTAATGGCTACTTATCCTCAACCTGATTATTCTAACACTCTCTATGTTGCTTGAGCTGTATTTAAGAACAAGAAAAAACGTTCCAAGAAAAATGTCATCAGTTGTATTAAAGCAGCTTCTAACTATTTATCAATTTTAATATTCGTCCCAAATGTCGCTATGAACTTGAACTACATATTTTCTATACTTGAAATTTCTCAAGATGCATTTGACATTTATTACTACTTTACGATCTTAAATGCAGCTCATAAAGTTTATAGTTACCTTCATTTCCGACGTCACAGAGAAGTTTCATTGAACGTGTATACAGGCCGTATCCTTTGCCTGACTCTGATACATTTGAATGCATACAAACCAAGTAGCGCCCGTACGGGCATGTATATTCCGCACACGTTAAGCGAGCTTCTATTCAAATAATGAATAGAAGTTGACCATACTCATGAATAAGTACGTACGTTGCGCTCTGAATGCCAGCAGGTTAACGAGTTTCCTCGAGGGGTATACATCGTTTGCCGACTCGCCGTTTTAGCGTCCAAAAATTTTTCGAGAGGACTCTTGGAATTTACTCGGCCCCTCATGACAAACAGGTCAAGCAGAAAGCAAGCGATTTTTCCAATTAATTTAATTCGAAAACTAGCTCACGACGTGTGTACGGGAATCAAATATAACATATATGTATGCGCACATACGAAACAATCGCCGATAGCAGTAAAGCAAGAGCAATCTCTCATGTCTCACTCGAGAAGTATCTTGGCTTTTTTCTACTTTTTTACTAAATCGCTCGCAACAATAAATTGCACCGCGCGCACTTTACTCCCGCCCAGTAAAACTGGACGTTGGATACTTGCACAGCGTGGCAAGGCTGAGAATTATTTTTCAAACTTTTTTCCCTCCCGTGTAGAGTTGGCCAATTCAGCTGCTAGCTACATTGTACTCGTGAACTTGGTGTACACTGCTATCGAGACACATTTGTAAAAGCTGCATCCTGAGCAAGCTGTAGCCAGCAAAACTCGCGTATTATGGGCTTTATATCTTTCGTGCGCGAAAGCCAACAAACTGTGTACGTGCGGCAAGACTCGACTCTATTTTCGCATATTGCGCAGCAGCGTACCTCACATTTGCTGACCAGGTCGAAAAAAGGGATTAAGAGCTTTTTCCCTGCTTCGAGTTTTGTGCATTGTCGAGCTTGACAAATATGATTCAATTTGCATCGTTAGATTTGTTCCTTTTCTCTTTAGCGGATTATTTTGAAACGTAGATGTATACAAGCTATTTTTTCATTAACTCGAGCATACGACCGGGCGTTGCCGCCTGAATTGCGAAGCGAGAACAAATTACTTACAAATGTAGCTCGAAACGATGTTGATAAAATAATTAAATTCTTTCCAATGAAAACTACAAACGATGGTTCTTTTAATAAAAAAAAAAACATTTAAACTAAAAGCCCGAGATGCTTTACTTAATTTTTAAAAAGACATTCCTATTCCCTTTACCCTTTCATAAGACCTTCTAATTACTTCTCATGAAATTATATAAATTAATTATGCGGCTCAATAGATACGAGGATTAAAAGACGTAGTAAAGAAATAGGATAGTGATCTCGATAAACGACGACTTTACTAGCTTCTCAAAGACAATATGAATGGAAAGTTTTCGCGGTGGGGCCAAAGCAATCTATTTCAAATGCATCAGTTTTAGACTGTATAAACGATAGCAATTTTCTCGATAGACGATGAGCTAACCTCTGAATAAGAAAGTCCTAACGTCTCACTTTTCGACGCTAAATTTTCCACTACTTTTCTTTTTTTCGCAGCCGAACAGCAGAAAATTAACAACTTTGCACTGAGTAAGTTTTCACCGCAAAATAACGAATCGAATGTCTAAAGATTGACCAGATCCAAACTTTCCACGTGTCATCTAGTTAAGCGCATGTTCTCAATGGATGGCTTTTGCGCGATTGCAGCTACTTTTGTACAGACTGAACAAGTAAATTTGCATATCCTACTGAAGAAGGTAACTGATAACTGATCTGAGAGATATATTATTTTGTGAAGAATCAAGCCCAACATAAGAATCATCCAAAAAAGGTAAAAGTTTCGAATCCGTGAGTGAAAAAGCTGTTGATATATTTACAAAAATATAAAACCACTTTTATTACATTAATTTCTTCAAAATAGAAGAAAACGAAACTTTAATTATATTCTTCCGTGATTGTATCTGTGAAAATATCCTTCCCTGCAAGATGCAAAGTAATATGATTCAACTTTGAAACAACGTCTAAAATGACGTTATTTTTCTGAAAAAGGTACACTTTTTCATCGTTCAAAAGGAATTATATTCCATTTTAGAAAAAAACATCTAATAATTTTTTTAAGTAGACCATTCGCGCACTTGTAGGCGAATATTTGCAGCAAAAAAGCTCGCTCTTTCCCTCACTTTAGCCTGCGAGAGAATAAAATTTATCGGAGCATAGTCGAGCCGCGCAAGCTCGATTCGTACGAGTACATGCAAAAAAGGCATTCGAGTATATTATACATTCAATATTTGCATAATGTTTCCATCCTTCTTTGACAGAATTCGATAAAAGAAGGGCTTGCAAACTCAACGCGCAGTGGCAAAGCTTACATCTACTATCTACATGTATCGCTGCTGTGTTTTCTATTTCTGTTTCCGGGGACGTTAACTAGACTTGCTTTATAGGTAAAACAAGTAAAGAAAGAGAAACTTCAATAAAATTCGTACATGTTGTTTGACTAGCAGTTCAAAATTACCTTTGCCATTTTCCACTTGAGTGAGATTCGCATTTCCTCTTCTACGACAAATCCAATAATTCTGTACTCAGGAAAAAATATTTCAAGAGAAAAAAAAATTTGAACGATGCATCAAAAAATTATGAAAATTCTTTTCACGAGATGCTTTGGGCGCTTCTAAGCTAGCGCCCCCTGTCAGAATTTTGGGAAAGAAGAACACTTCTATAATATCAAGCGAGATATGTCGAAGAAATTGTAATCGGCCTCGCAGGCGCACATGCTGTTTTTCCAACGATTGTCTGTACGCACTTCTCGCTGCTTCATATAGTAAGCTCATACAACATCAACCCTTGCGTTATTAGCCCTTCCGACTGGAGAGTAACACGAGACCTAAGGAGTCTCTTGTTTGAGTCCTGATTAAGCACTGGTTTACACTCCGTCTACGTGCTGCCATACGCAGACCGAAATCTTTCCCGCATGCACGTACGCTTGAAATACTCTTGGGCTTAGTTAATGCTGCCAAGTACTCGCATACGAAAGCCTCCATCCTTGCCTTATGATTCTAAAGTACGCTGGACAAACGGATTAGGCTTTGCAGCATAATCTGAACATGTCAAATGGCGTTTATGTACAGCCATGTACCTTTGATTTTAATTTTTTTTTCTTTCTTATAATATTTTCATTCTTTTTAATAGTGCATTACTTTTTATACTCATTTACATTTTAATCGGAGCTTTCTATAAGATATCATAAATACTTATACTCATCGTTACATAAGTAATTGTGTAGAAAAGTACGAGAGCATTGACACTTTTTTCAACGGAACCCAATACAATCAATTAATTAAAATCCATTAATTTTGCTTCCGTAATTTGAAAAGCATAAAAGGAATAATATCTATACGTAATGTGGATTATTTGTACATGGTACGGCACGGAATATTCAAACAAACCCATGTGTCTGTGTAATTTAGCAGATCAAAGGTAATCAGTATAATGTGCGGTACAGTACTGCTAACTGGCGCATTATCAGCATCCCGGAGTAATCAGACATCAGACACATCGTTTTCCACAAAAAATTGTCATCTTAATTAACTTATAAATCGCAAGCTAATGGAAAGTGTTTTTAGGACCCATATTAATACATTTTATTCAACTGCACGACATTTAAATTCAGCCTGCCAAAAATACTGTTTATGATTTTTAATTTGCGGATTTGTAATTTTTTAAATATATATTTCTTCTCTGGTGAATTGATGCATGACGAGACTTTCGTAGGTAGAGATTAATTTTACGTGGATCATGTGTTTCGTTCAATCAAAAATAAAATAGAATGCGCTATCACTCTTTGAGTGGATGTTGCGTTCGGATTTTATTTTTTTTTCTTATTACTTTCTCTCTTCGTCTTCACCTTCGTTTTGTCGCAAAAAAAGATTTTCGCAGCACATAACACCGATATATCGAATTGAGTACTGTGAGAATTTTTATGCATGCACGGATGTTGATAACTTTTTTTTTAGGTGATCGAGCTTTAAGGTATTTGTTATGCTGCGAGCGTAATGCATTTTCTGCTATGGGAGATTGATGGTTTTGCGGATAAAACTTTATGTGGAAAAAAGTAGAGACAATTTTTTTAAAATTATTTTATGTATTAAAAATTTTGGTAATTTGAAGTGCTCTTAAATACATGTTCAATTCAAGCTTTAATAAAGCGTAAAAATAAAAAATTCCAACGAACGCGTACAAACCACGAGAATGCTTTTCAGCTAAAAGCAGTTTGCGCACTCCAGTTTGCGTAAATCCAATCTACACATATGTTCTAAGCGCCTAAAAGCTTATTTTGATGGAAGCTCGGTATGCGCTTATAGTTGTTAGGATACATGCACGTTTATTTTCAAGACGCGGTAACCCCATAAAATCTATGCAGATCACTCTGAAATTTTATTGAAAAA